TGGGGGGGGGGTCGCTCCTGGTGGGGCGGGTGAGGGGGGGGTGTCTCCTCCATTCTCCCTATTGGGGGGTCCCTACTGGGGAACCCCCCCGTAGTTGGGGGGTCCCCTGGGGTCTCCAGCCCCCGGTGGGGGGATGGAGGTGGTTGGGGGTGGTCTCAAACCCCCCCAAAATCCCCCCCCTCAGTTCCGTGACCCCGAACACGGCGAGTGGTTCGGGTACCTGAACCGGGACGGCACCGTCGCTCTCACCATCAAGGGGGGGCCCTACAAAGGTGGGTCTGGGGGCTTCAAGATGGGGGTGTGTGGGGGTCACTGGTGTAACTGGGAGCCACTGGGAGCCACTGGGATTGTGTTTCCCTCCCCCCTCTCCCTCCCTTTTCCAGGGTGTTTCCACGTGGCGCGGGCGCTGCTGATGTGCGAGGAGCTGCTGGGGGCCATCCTGGAGCGGGGGGAGGGGGCTGAGGACCCCCCAAAATAAATAAACCCCCTCCCCGTGTCCGTCTGTCCATCCCCGGGGGAGGAACCTGCCCGTTTCCAACATGGCGGCGCCCGTTGGGCGCTTCGTGACGTCACTTCCGCCCGTACCGTTCTGGGGCTTCTCTCATCTCCTCCCCCCCAAAAAAACCCCAATTTAACACGTGCCCCCGCAAATAACCCCCCCCGTCCCCCAAAATAACTCTCCTGAGCTCTCTAATAATCCCCCGTGTCCGTCTGTCCATCCCTGTGAGAAGGGGGCGGTCGCGCCCTGCCCGCTTCCAATATGGCGGCGCCCATTGGAGACTTCAGAATGTCACTTCCGCTCTTCCTTTGGCCCTTCCGTGACTGTTCCTTCTCCACCCTCAATAAACGTGTCCCCCCAACCAAAATAAGCCTCCCCAGTAGCCCCCGTGTCCGTCTGTCCATCCCAGTGGGGGGGGAATCGAGCCTTGCCCGCTTCCAACATGGCGACGCCCGCATTGACTTCGAACGTCACTTCCGCCCTTCCTCTGCCCCGGCTATTTCCTCCTCATCCTCCCCATCAATAATCCCGTGTCCCCCCCAAAATAAATTCGTGTCCCCCCTCCAAAATAACCCCCCCGTCCCCCTCAATAACCCACGTGTCTGTCTGTCCATCCCCGGGGGGGGG